GATAAATTACAGAACGGCGATATTACGGCCTTCAAGAGTAAAATAATGGGGTGAATCCACACATTTATCTTTGCTTTGAAGTATTTTTTTTTCCTCGCTGCTTTAATGACCCTTCTTGGCCCACACACACACACACACACACACACACACACACAGGTCCAAATCCTGCAGATGGAAATCTAATGCCTCTGCCTGCCTCGTCTCCCTCTCTGCCGCACTCTCTCTCACACTTTTAGCCGCTCTGCTGTGAAACCCTGCCCATCAGGTCAGCCTGCTGACACATCTGTCAATACATACTCTGGGAGGTAGAATATAACCTTGCCCTGCGGTACCTTTCTAATGTTTCCTACTCAGCACTGCTTTCTTCAAAACCCTTCAAAAAGAAGGAATCCAAAAGTGACCATGCACAATATAGACGCTCGCCCGTACACGCGCGCAAACCCACATGCAGGGAATGTGTGTGTCGCATTGAATCAACACAATTACCAAAAATCACAAACGAATTAGGTACAATTACTCTTTATTGCAGCTGTTGTACTGGAGCCCTTGGTGATGCTTTTGGGGGGGGTTAGAGGGGGGCGCCGCCTGGAAAAAGACTCTTCTTCTTTCTCTTCCTCCAACAGCACCGTGTGGCCCATCTGAGAACAGCCCTTTGTTGTCGGTATGTGGGATTTTGAGCAGCTGGAATGTATCTGCGTCATCTTGCAAAAAGGTACATGTGCCCCCAGCTAGCCTGCTGCCTGCTCAACACTGATCCGGGACCTATTGTGATTCATACTTACTAAGCCTTCCGTGTCCCTTCATCCCTGCTCTGGGTTACATTTTTGTTTCTCTACTTATTTTTCCATTCCTCTGCCTTCATCGACTCCTGTTTTCATCGTTTGTTCCCGTCCACCCTTTGCCTCGCCTTGCTGCACCGGAAATCTGATATTCAAATGCACCGTCTTTTTTGCGTCAGCGGGAGGTATCGAAAGGGAGTAAATGAGGAAAAGGCAGAGGGGGGTGGTGGGGGGGGGCGCGCGGGTCGGATGGAGGCTGGCGTGCACGCACGTTGCCCAAAATGGCTGCAGCAGAGAACCAAACAAGTGAACACGCCGCTCCGTTAAGGCACTAAATCCCTTCCTATGCAAAAAAAAAAAGAAACACCCTTCACTTACGTAACGGCTCGTAATGGCCGCTTTGATCCACCGACACACTCACTCCTCTCACACGTTCATCCCTTCATTCTAACAATAGGCCTACACTCCCGCGAGCCACTTGAGCTTTGATACCGCAATCCGGCAATGGGCTTCGACTACAGCATTCAGATGTGCCCAACGCTAAAAGGATACTGTGGCAACAGTGAGGGGTAATTAGAAAATGATTTGTGAGTGTGGACAACATGGAAGACATTGCAACTTTGAGGCTTTGATTTCGTTACAGCGCATGACGCCAGTAGAAAGGCGGTGTTTTGTGAAGAGCAGAACCAAACGGAAATCGATGAAACCAAAGGATTATTATTTTTATTTTTTTATTTTCTTTATGTTATGAATACAATGCTTACGGTGAAAATAGATATTTGCAAGGACGTGAACACACAAGTATGGCACAGACACACACGAGAGTTTTAAACGCTCTTCATCCTGCGCCGGCGTTCAACACGCGCAAGGAGACACACAGTGCAAGGAGTCCAAATGCCCCAATCCCCCGTGCTGAACCTGGACTTGATTGCAGGATTTGTAGACACAAATGTATGTGTGACAGGTGGAGGGGCTACTTTGGGCCTTGAGAACCTTTGCTGGGTGGTGTTTCCTCGAGGCCACCCTGAGCAGGGAAGCGCCAGACAAAGGCTGAGGTTGTTAGAGTTGTACTGCTGCCATAGAAGGACCCCCCCCCTTAACTCCCCAACAGGGAAATCACAGGCCCAGTGAACCGGGGAACTCTCTGCTTCAGTCCACACCGCCTCGTACACCTCCAGCCAGCTCAGCAGCTTCATTAGCTTCAACAAGGATGTCCACAGTCTACAGTCTCCCACTCTTAAATTACACTGGCACTGCAAAGTCATCTCATATTACTCGTATTATTTTGTGTGAATCTATTGATGGAGAAACAATATGACGTATGATGACTATCCTTAGTGCAATTAGTTTCCATCAATTGTCCAGGACTATATACACAAGATATGTAGTAAGGCGGATGCACGAAGGAGTTCGTGCCCTCTCAGTTCTGCCCGCTGTGCCACAGTTACTACGTGTGGGAGCCAGGAGTATTAAAGTGAGTTACTGATACATCCCGGCAGACATGTTTGTGTGTGTGTGTGCGCCATGGCTGTCATGCAAGCCTGATATAAGATCTGAACTGGGTCTCGGCTGAGAGTGTTTTTGATAGATGTGGGCCTGCAGTGGCTGAGCTGTCAAGGCAAACCGTCCACCTTTTTTACAGCTTCATGTCGGATGAGTTGGAGATACATAAACACCCTAACAGTTTGGTGATTTGCCAACTTATTGATGTGGTGGTTTTGATCCATTTGTGTTTTTTTTCATAGCACCAAAGCTGAGCTTGGGCTATAAAAATCCAACACATCCTCTGTAAAATATAGACCTCTTTAGCGCAGCGTGTGTCCTTGTATGTGTGTGTATCTCTAGCAAGGTACAGCCGCATAAGGTATTCTTCTCGCATACAAACAGTCCTTTCAGTGCCCTGGAAAGTTTGGAGCTCTGTAAGTGCTATTGATTGCCTACAATCCAAACTAGGCAACCCCTTTGGGCTTATTTGAAGTCCAGACTATACCGTAAAGATGTGTGTGTGTGTATGTGTGTGTGTGTGCGCGCTAAATTCATTTAGCAATACTGGAAAGCAGCAGATTTGATTTGTCTTAGCTTTATTTGTATTTCAATCGAAAAAAACATTGTTTGGTGGTTTCGCTGGTGCATCCACCAACGATACTGCGAGACATGGCAGACATTTTGCTCCTTTCCGGTCTCTTGTTTCAAAAGCATTTCTGACCATTTGGCCTCAGTCACTGTTGCTTATTATCCATTGAATTATATTCCAAGGCTGATTTTAAGCAGCACTCTAATCTCCATTTTACTCTAACTGGCCTCCATCTGTTGTAAAAGGCCACGGGTGACAGCACACCTACAGCAACAAATCAAACATGCAGAGTTACCGCACTAATCCTTGACCATGTGTAGCGATATCAAAACAAACAGAGACCACTAGAGATCTTCCCGTGTGATCCCTCCCCACCGGGTCTGAAATGACTGCAGATGAAGGTTTGCTGAGAGAGGAGGAGTATTTATGCGGGTCTGCGCTTGATGGCAAAATAACAAGTGCCGACGACGGAGACCGATAGACGGAGGAAGGAGGGGGGACAGATACCAGCACCAGCCATCCTCAACTCCCACAACCTCACATCTCATCCAACACTCCCTGATGCCGACTGATCCGGAACGTGTGTTGGGATTGTGGGGCATGATTTGCATTTTCATCCCTCTTGGCTCACCATAGAGCACATTAGCATGACGTTTAGTCATTTCTTTCCTTTTTTTTTTCTTTCAAGAAAACAGCACTTATTTGGTTAAAATCCCACCAGGTTTCATTTTTCCCAGCGCACATATTTTCTTCTGCAAAAGTTTACTGATCTGAGACTGATGTGTGGGTATTATGAGACAATGATTAAATACAAGGGAGGCTATTTTCAGGCAGATATTTTGCAAGCATGTTTGCTATTTGCTTGACCTTTAAGTTAATACAAAGCAAGCATAAGTATTAAATTGTTGGTCATAGCCACTTAGCTATTGATCAGGGCCCCCGCAGATTATAAAGGTTACATCAGCCAACTGTAATGTACGAAGCGTTAACCGCAGCCTTGCAGTACAGGGTACTAATGGGGCGATATCTGAAAGAGAAGTCAGACACAGGCCCACCATGTGAAGGACTCCCACAGAAATCTCCCGAAGGACGTGACAGGAAGCAACATATCGTCCGGCACCTGCCGAGCTTTGTAAATTACAAGACAATTGCCTCAAGTGTGTTTTCTCGGAACCTGGCTTCTGAAGGACACAATCCGCATTCCAATGATTGGTTTGAAGTCACGGAACAAATGAGAGAAAAGACAATTCTTGGAGTGAGTGATTGCTGGAAGGGGTGACGAAGCAAACTGTTCTTATTCCACTACATCGCCCATTTTTCTTTCTTTTTATTTTAATAACTGCAAGGTACTTACAAACCAAACATTCTCCACCCGTTATTCTCCTCTCTGTCAAACATTTTGCAATGTGCACCAAAGGAAGTTTTCCCTTTTCTGCGATGGCACATAATAACTAACTAGTTGCGAGTAGGTGAGAGGAAAGGAAGGGTAAATTATTCTGGGCTTCCTGGGATTCGAGGCGCCAGGCTTTCTCACTGCCCCGAAATCGGATTCTGGGTTCCAGGGTAGACCTCTCCCCGATGGACCATCAATAGCCCTCTACTGACCTTGTGGAACATTGACTATTCCCCAAAGTGAGCTCGGCTGGCTGCAACGCAACACAAGACCGCTCCTGTTTCAGGTCTATGGGAGGATGTCGGTGTGCCATTTTAACACTGGAAATAGACACTAATGGGATTTATAGACAATTGGCTCACGCACAGCCCAGGCTGCTTATGGCAGAGACGACATGAGAATATTTAGTGCAAACCCACCGAAATGCGCAAACGACTACCCGCCTGTTCCCACTAAGAAATCACCTGCCGCGGTTTCTGCATCATCCACTTTTGCGTCAATTAGCGCACCAATTAGCTCAATAACACCCAGGAGCGTCGTGTCGCGCCAAACACGAGCAGCCGCGGGGATTTGCGTGGCGCGCGGGTGGATGCAGACACTACGACACGGGCAGAAGTCCCAGTGGCCCCCGAGGAGTCGGGTAGAGCCGGCGCGCAGCTCCTCTCTCCACGGGGGCAAACACACATTCTCAAACCCGGCGTGGAGACGCTGCACCAAGCGGCTGCGCCACTCCTCGCGGCGCCAAACTACATACCTGGTTTTTATGCCGAGTCCCGTCTTCGAGTTCAGAAGAGCTGTTCATGATTCCCCATTGGTCATTTACCACACTACGGAGAATCTGCCCATCCGATCGACAGAGAATACCCCCCCTCCTCCTCCCCACCCCCGCTTTTCAGGTCTTTATTTGTGTTTTAGCCTACTCCATGGGTTGGCGGCGGGATGCGCTATTTCACGTCGAAAAAGAAAATGAGGCGCAACTACTTCTGCGGAAGCAGCAACCGCAGAGACCGCACAAATTACGCACCAAAAATCCCCCCCCCCCCCCGCGTGATTCTCCCGATTATCTTGTTGTTATTCCAATTAGAAAGATTGGGGTGTTCGGAGGATCCAGGGCTTGTAACTTGACTGACAAACGCGTCACAGTTACGTTAGATTAAAAATAAATTAAAAAAAAAAAGAACCACAAAATGATCCTGAAGGCAAGTCGCACTCCTTTTACTCCAGAAAAAGAAACCAGGAAAATCTTCTTGGACTCAGCTTGGAAAGTGCGGCGAAACCTTTCTGTCCATCCACTCCCGTTTCCTGGGCACTTGGAGACGCCAAGTCAGCGCGGACCGTGTCCAGTTAGCAGAAGTCTTACAATACCGCGCCCGGAGAGGGGCGGGGGGGCGCGGATGGAGCCTTCTTTATTTGCACCGGGCTGCTCTGGCTGGTATTTCACAGAGATGCCGTTGACAAGCCGCGTGCACAGGGAAAAGATTAGCGTGGTCCTCCTGTGTGCCGTGCGGGGCGCTCCGTCCCTCCGACTGTCAATCAGCGCGTCCCTTCGTTACGCACGTTCCTTCGCTGTGCCGCGCTGCACCCGACTGCTGTGCCGCTGCCTCCCTTCCCACCACACAGCGCGGACACTCCTATTCCTCTGCAACCCCAACCCCGTTCAGATTGGGACACGTCCATGCAGAATGCGCACACCACGCACTGTCCAATGGGTTAATGGAAACTAATCCCGGAAAGCAGATTGCTGATGAAATTCTCACGCGGAAAAAAAAAAAACGTGTGAAAAGATCGGCTAACAATACTGTGAACAGCATTATTCTCACAGACCCGGCAGAGTGATTGTCTCAAAGACTTAATGACTGGCTTTGACATCATCCAGCACTGCTCATTTGAGGGACAGCCCTTACCAAACTACATAGAAGACACATAAAAAGATGAAACAGAATAATCTTGTATGCAATTGTATAATGCACTGCAGAGAAATCAAATTTGAAACCTCCCAAGTGCAAACATATAGGTGCATCCGGCTCAGCACATGCCTGGAAATAATGAGGCATATAAATGGAAGAAAGTGCACTTGGGCTGTATTAAGATTTTAGAGGTCTGCGTCTCAGAAGCAGGAATTCCAAAGAGGAAAGGCTCTCACTGTTCATTGACTATTATAAAGGGTTTCTGTGGGGTACTTGAATAGCTCAGCAGGGTTTACATAAGAGCTCCGATATTTAAACTCCAGAGCCACAGTAAATTAATCATTAGGTTCCAGAAATCAATTATTCTTTACAGTTTCCTTTTTCCTGCTGACATGCAGCACTGTGGCCCAATAAGACCACCAGGAGTGTGCAAGATTACTCGCCCCTAAGATGGACCTTTCACCCACGGGGGGGGGGGGGGGGAGGGAAAAAAATGGGCGCTGTTGGGGAATATGCGTTTTAAGCAGGTCCGTACATTCACCTGTGGACTGAGGATACGTCATCATGGTGGATGCATCCGTAGGAATAAAAGTGTGAAATGTTTCGCATAGCATAGTGAAGCATTGATACATATTTGTCTTTCTTTGCTTGAAAGAATTCCAACGCGGGACACTAATTTTCTCCTTTTTTAACATTCAGAACAATATCATGCACTCTGATGTGCAGTTTCTTTAGGCGGGAATGAACGCGGCTGCATAAGTGGCAACTTAAGTGAACAAGCGTGTCAAACTGAATATTTATTGGAGCCAAGTCCAACACAGTCCATAAAGCATGATAAATATACTATGAATAATACAAATAAAAAATGGCTATTGGAACAAACGGCAGTTTTCATCAAATGTCTTGATGCCCCAGGCCGTGCTTCGCATTTGATGGAAAAAGAGAAATGTGCAAACATTGCACATTTGCTGTCAAACTGCAGGGGGCATTGAATTTAGTCTTGATCCTTCCAGGTGTTTCACAATTATTGTGACAATACAGCGATTTCCTTCACAATGACTGAGCTATATGACTTTTATACAAAAGGAGAAAAAAGGACTCAACCCAAATACAAAATAGGGCAAACCGTTAAAAGGTAAAACCGCGTGAACACTAGCTGGTGATTGTGTGTTTGGGTGACCTTGTGTGTGCGTGTGCTTGCAGAGGCTTGTGTGTGTGTGTGTGTGTGTGTGTGTGTGTGAGTGTGCTCATTTCTGGCTCCATATTTGAATGTCACTGAAACCCGATCAGCCAAAGACATCCAGAGAAACAAGGAGACGTCTCCCAGGAAGAGCTGTTTATCTCCACAATTAGCCCAGACAATACAACCTTTTATCGGCATTGTTCTTTGATCTGCATTATATCCAAACTTGCGTGTGTGTCTGTGTGTGTGTGTTCGTGTGTGTGTGTGTGTGTGACGCTCTGCTCTTGGTTCGATGCTACTTTTCCCCTTGGCTGTGTTTTCTTTTAATTCTTCACGCACTGAGTGGGAGCAGTACAAATGCACAGAACCGCGGAGAAACAAAAGAGTGAACTTCCTTTTCCCAAAACACCAAGCCAACCCCCCGAAAAAAACAGATCGAAATGAAAAGATGAAAACAAAAAAGGAAACGGACGGGAGTGAGAACAATGTGGAATCCGCTGGTCGGTTTTGGTAATGCGATTTTGACAGGTTTACAAAACAAGTATAGGAAACAAACAGCTGTTTGAATGTAGTAAGAAGCTGCAGGATGTGCACATGGAGACGTGCACGTTGCACCAGCAACTAGTGCACAACAAAAGCACACGCCTGAATAACAGCACGTGTAATCAAAGCGGCATTCCCTCTACGCTCATCAAAATAATTCAGTAAGAAAAGAAAAAATCAATTGGGGGCACAAACAGGGGGCTGTGCAGACTGAGGGAGAACTCTGGTGTCATCAATCTATAATGACGGTTCCCTCTCAAGAGCCTCCAGAGGAGGGGCGAAGCGCTCGCACCTCTGAAGTGCAAAGTCAAATACAGTGTTGCGTGTCTCCCCGGGCTCCTCTGCTGAGTCCCCAACTTAGCCCGAGGTTTGCCGCGGGTGCGGGATATGATTGAGGTCACTTGATACAACCGATTCTTTGCCCGACGCGGGGCGAGGCCGCTCAAGCGCCGCGCGCATACTTGCGCTTGCGAACTCGCGTGGCGGCGCAGCGGAGGTCCAGCGAGCGCGCCGAGAGTCTGGTTGCGCACGTAGAGGTGACATTTACTAATGAGGGTAATTAGACATGAATCCGGGAGATGGGATTCCATAATTGGCGGCGGCGGTGCCGACGATCACCAAAGTGATTGTTATGAGCTTGAAAACATGGCAGACATTTCAAACACCATGTTGCCAGCGTGGACTCTTTTCTACCGTCTTCATTAGGCGACTAAGAATGATTGTGTTCTTTGTCTGTGATATTTATCGGCATTTAGAGGATGGCTCACATTCTGCTGCTGTCTTCTCCCTCCCCCGCGCCCCCTCTCAGGGTGTCAGATCTTCCCTTTACAACTTTGTCCCGTGTTGTACCATCAGGTAGCTCCATGTTTTCGTCTCGTTAAGAGCTCTGTTTGTCTCTCGGCTCACAGTCGGGGTTTTCTCCGTGAGCCGCCGAGTCGTGTTTGCTGAATGGTTTGTAATTATCCGCGGGCCTCCCTCGAGCGACGCTCCCGGGGCTCCTCTGCAAGCATGCGGTGCTCCGCCCACCAATGAACCCTTCCTGCTGGAGCGGCGGGAGCAGCGGGACGACTGGGAACACGTGCATCTTAAAAAGTCGCGAGTGTGTATGAGGGCCGTATAAGAAATCAGCCCTCTCGGTGCTTTGTTTACCTGCAATCATCTTCTGCTGCAATCTTCACTGGCCTCTCACCCTTTTTTCATGTGATACCACTCGCTTGCTCTGTTTTTGGGCCTTTTGTATTGAATGGCACCAGGAAAGCCTTAAAAAACCTGCCAGAAAGAAACTCTACTGTGATCCGATTGCCCTCTTAAGGAAAGTCTTTAATGTGTTTTATGCACGGCTGGACCTCCAAATACAATCTGTACCTTTTTGGAAAACTAGGAATTAAGCAGGCAGGCGGTAATCCCAGACTCTTCTAATGTCTTATAATTCCCTTAAGAATCCTCCCCCCCCCCCCACTGGGACATCCCCATACCTGCGGTGTAGCCCAACCCTTTCCATTAAATTCCTCTTTGGCGGTGACTATACACACTATCCCACCGTAACATCAAAGTGGAAAGTGAACCATCGTCATCACGTCCATCGCAGCTTGTGTGTGTATTCTGTGTCGTAATTCTCTGGTAATAACATTTGGTGTCCTATCATCCGCTCCGTCCAAATCAGCCTTGAATTCGCGTGGGAGGCCTGGACTCAAGATTCGTACATAATTTGGTTCTGGAGCATGTAATATGCATTTGAAAGTTAATGATAATTTCACAGAATTTCATGGTACTGCTCTGTGTGACCTCGAGGCTCTGGAAAAAGATATGAGCAGTCTGCAGTGTGAGGGGGGAGTCGGTTCTGCAAGTGTGCAAGACTGGAGAAGAAAACTGGAGGAGTGGAATTTATATATTATTTCCATTATAGATAAAGTTTACAAATAACGTGAGTTGCTGAGTTGGGGAAAGCGCCAAAGGAGACAGGATCCGCTCTCCGAAAAAGCATCGGTTCCCCTCGGTATATTTGTCCTTCTATATTCTCAGTCTAACAATGTACAAAGACAACAGCCAAAGCCAAGAATATATGAACTGTTTGAATTATTGATGCTCGGCTAAACAGACTGGATGCTGTTAATGTGCCCTCAGTCAGTCAGCGATGACTTTCTCAATATGGAGCAGTTGATTCTCCCAAAAATTGAAAATCTCTTTATCAAAAGATGACCTTTTAGTCAAGGACATTCATTACATTCATGGGAAACAACAAAGGCCAAGTATATAGATCATTGCTTCCCATACAGCGAATAATTCCATTTTATGTATCTTTATACTATATTCCACATTATTTCAGAAGGAAATATTGCACTTTTTTCTTCCAGCCAATTGTTTTACAGTGTGAATAACTAGTTAAGCTACTTTTCAGCTTCAGATTCTTAATGCAAAATATAAACCCAGTTAAACAATGTATTATTATGAGGTATACAGCTTAAATAAAGGTTAAATCTAGCTCCAACTTCACCAGCTTTGGCATGCGTGTTTTGTTAGTACATCGCCACAGATCACGTACCGAGTTAAAAGAGGGCACTACTTCTCTTCCCGCGGGGAATGAGGGCAACATGAATTCGACTGGTGCCAGGAGCTGTGATCCAATTTCACTTTCGACCAATCTGGAACCGATCACTGCCCACCGCTGCCAAGGAAATATGCATGGAGCCAGGCAGCCCGCCCACCTGTTGAGAAGTGTCAAATGCTTCCTGTTAAATATGAAACTGCGGCAGAACAAAATAGATTTTCATGGGCCACCGCAGTCCGGGAAATTAATTGAAAATCCTGCACTCAACGAGAAATGGAGACAAAGACAAAATACACAGCTCGTGACTTTGTTATCCCAACGTTTTGACCATATTTGGTCCTTCAGTCTCTACCGTACCTTCCTAATGACAACAGGCAACAGGCACTGTTTAGCGTTCCCTTTATAATTGAATTAGAAAAACCAAATCTACCTTCAGCAAAACAAATGATATGAAAGAGAACTGTCTTTAATGAGGCCTCACATCCAATTTAGTCTCCTGAGGAATGAACATACAGAGGCAGGATGAAGATAGAAGAATTTTACGCTGGCTATGTGCCAGCTCTTGGTAGTCATCCAATTAACAC